CAATGGAACAGAATCAAAAACTCAGAAACAGACCCATCCATCTATGAACAGCTGACCTTTGACAAAGGCCCAAAACCCATTAAATGGAAGAAAGATAGCCTCTTTAACAAATGGTGCTGGCAAAATTGGATATCCACTTGTAGAAAAATGAAACAAGACTCGTATCTCACCCCATACACAAAAGGAAACTCAAGTTGGATCAAAGACTTAAATGTAAAACCCAAAACTATGAAGTTCATCAAAGATAAAATAGGGGCAAATCTAGGGGCCCTCATTTATGGCATAAATAGACTATCAAGCATAACTCAAAATGCATGGGCAGTGGAAGAGAAACCAGACAACTGGGACCTTTTAAAAATTAAATTCTCATGTGCAGCCAAAAGACTTCTCCAAAAGGGTAAAAAGAGAACCTACAGATTGGGAAAAAATATTTGGCAACAACATATCTGACAAGAGACTTATCTCCAAAATTTATAGAAAACGTCAACACCTCAACACCAAAAAGACAAACAACCTAATTAAAAAATGGGCAAAGAAAATGAACAGACACTTCACTAACAAAGATATGCAGGCACCCAACAAACACATGAGGAAATGCTGACATTCATTAGCCATTAGAGAGATGCATATCCAAGCAACAATGAGATATCATCTCATCTTAACAATAATAGCAAAGTTCAACAAAACAGAAATAAATATTGGTGAAGGTCCGGAGAGATTGGGACTCTCATATACTGCTAGTGGGACTGCAAAATGGTACAGCCACTGTGGAAACTGGTATCACATTTCCTTAAAAAACTGAACATAGAAATACTATTTGATCCAGCAATTCCATTATGAAGAATCTACCCTAAAGAGGTGAGAGACAGGACATGAACAGACATACGGACACCCATGTTCATTGCAGCACAATTCCCTATAGCAAAGAGATGGAAACAACCTAAGTATCCATCAACAGATGAATGGATAAACTATGTTACATTCACAAAATGGAATACTATGCAACAGTAAAGAATACACAAATCGTCTCACAACATGGATGAATGTGGAGGACATTATGCTTAGTGAAATAAGTCAATCACAGAAGGACAAATATTGTATAAGTCCATTATTGTAAAATTCAAGGAAATATTTACTCAAGGAAAGAAACTCACTTTGTTGGTTAC